AGGGTATGCAACAAGATGTCACTAGTTTTCCCTCACTGAAACCCACTGCAAATTAGTGAATTGTATGAATTGCAGCCTGGCTGAGGTGTTCAAAATGAATGAAAGTTAATGGGATCAGCATCAGCCTCACAAGTGAATGACTGAATAAATGCAATAAAAGGCTAATAGACAACACTATTACTCTGTTCATCGCTTTGATTACAGATTTTTTTTGTTACAAATTTGAGTACATGCATTATGTAATTTGTAAAATGATGCTGTAGTAGAGACCTTGCTACAACACTATTAAAAATCTTCCCTTTTTGTGAGATAGGAGGTTTGTAGAATAGTGAGATTCTTTCATATGTCGAATCTTAATCTGTTCCTAATGGTGGGAGTGCTGAAGTAATGTATCTCACTGTGATCTGGTACTTCGGTATTTGCATACAATGGCAGTTCTGTATATTCTTTTGGCTAACTGTAAATATAAATGTTTGATATTAGCATAGTGGAATTTTTGAGGTACAGCCGTTTGTGTGAGATTAGAAAAAACAACTTTATTTCTAAGAACTTGTAAAAAAAAAAGTATTTTCAATAAAATTCCCTACCTCACCTCTATTGTGCAGAAATTATCCCATTTTCCTGTTTGATTTTTCTAACTTCATTTCTAAACACAAAGAAGATCCCTTTTTAGTTATTGGCAAAACACTGCTGTGTTTCATCAAATCAATCAAATAGTGGAATGCTTGAATGTCTGAAGTCTAATTTGTTTCCTTTGCTTCCTTTATATTAGGGTGATCAAGTATTTGATGCTGATCATATTGTAGAGATTTTATGCCATCTTAAGCTGCTCCCTCACTCTACCCCAGGGTTGAGAGCTTGTACCCTGTAATTTTATTGTATAGTGGCTGGCCATGCTTGATTTTTTTTTTTTATTATTATTATTTTGTTTTTCTTTTAGCAGTGGGGAGGAAGGGGTGTGTGTGTGTGTGACAAGAACATACCAAGGATCTTTGTCAGACCTTAGGGGGAAAGGGTCCCAAGCCTTGTTTTGCAGTGGAGGGGACTGAGCAAACACTTTGTTTGCTTTCTTTAATTGGGATGTAAATGCACATTCCCACAATCAGTTCTAAAAATAAATGTCTTAAAAGACTTGGAAGTTTTGCCAGGCTGAACTAGCTAATTAATTCCTCCTTTCTCTGAAATGCTTAACTCCTTACACCTTTAAAAAAACCAAAAAAAAAACCCATAATGCCAGGAGTGTTCTCTCACGTTGCTACTGGGAATGACTGTTTCTGTGGCTTCTCCTGAGGTGGATATAGCAAACCCAAATCAAAATTTTCAGTACTTGGGTTTGATTCCTCTATATTCCTGCACTTATTATGACACCCTTTTTCTTGCCATAGTTCAGACACCACCTGTATAACTCACTTTCTGAAGTACTCCCATGGTACGGGTCCCTGTGGGAAGTGGAAAGTAGGGAAGAAAAGGCACTCTGCTGTGTGTACTGGAAGCCCTTCCTCAGGAGAACTCTTGTTCTTTTTTACTTACGTGCGAGAACCAGAGTTTTGATAAGGGGGTTGTAGAAAATGGCATCAGTTCCTACTGAACTTTGTAAAAAAGCACTAGTTTTGAACCCAAATAAAAGACTCCGGGTTTTCTGGGCTCAGTGTCTGCTTGAGAAGAAAGGTTGATGCACGTATTTTGAGATGCAAATTTTTACATTATATTGCTGTTTGTAATTTCCAAGACCAGTGTAAAATGGCTGGGTTGGCATGTCTACGAACCCTCCCTTTTCCTGAGATTTGAGCAATAGCTCAGAGCTTTAAATATTACTGCATGTAAAAGAAATACTAGGTATCGCCTACAATGATAAAAGGACAGTGTATTTTCAGGTTCTCTAAATTTAAGCTCCAAATCTTGAGGAAACTTGACATCACAGCAAAGCAGTCATACCTACTACTTGGCAGCCTGCGTACTTTTAAATGGGTTCTTCACTGTTTTTAGAAATGAAGACTGTACTCTTTTTAAAACAGTAAGGCTTGCCCTGCTCAAACACTGTAATTATTAAGCAAGTGTGACCCTTCTCACAGAGTCACTTCTCATTGAAAATAAAGGTTTTTTCAAGAAAGTGCTTAAGGTTTCTCACCCTTTCCCCATACTACATTAGATACCTTATTACAGGTATCTTAATTATCTGGATTTTGATGTGAAAATCTGTGATCTCATTGAGTAAGAAATATGCAAATTTAGACTTGTTTATAGAATGTTCTACTGGACTGGACTCAGCTGAGCGACCCAAGGCACCCTAAACCAATGTACTTTTGGTTTCGCTGTGCTGAGCACAGGGCTGGGATGCACTCACATCTCCCCTCTTCTCCAGCATGATTAAGCTGAAATACCTTTGCTGCAAATGCTGGCCTTAAACAACCACCTCATTCTCTAAGTCCAGTTACACAAAAGCAAAATTAAAAACTCAGGTTAAAGTTTTACAAATCTTTAAGTTGGAGACTAATTTTAGTGCAATGAGCTGGATTAAACATTACATTTAAGTTGCAAATAACTAATAACCTTAATATTGGAGAACTCAGACTTTAACAAAAGATGTTAGTTTTGCTTATGACACGTGCGTAAGAGGGAGGTTTTGTTAATTCTGACATTTTTTAATTAACTCTATATCCTAGAGCGTGCCCATTCTTTCCCTGCCTTATGACTGTCATCTCAGTTTCATTTCATGCTAAATAAAAACTCATATTTACCTTGCAGCTTTGTTGAAGACACTACCTTAATCTGAGAAGAATTAATATACGTCATGGAATTATGTACATCCCACTTCAGTTCATATGCCAGGGCTCCTACCTTTATTCTGCAAGGTACTTTAATGCGAAGATACTGCAACATGACGTTGCCATGGATTTTTGTTATGAGGACCAAACGGTATTCCTCAAAATGGGACTGTTAACTGTTTGAACTTTGAAGATTCCTGTGATGTTAGGATTTCTCTTATACTGGCATAATGTTCTGTCATTGTTATGTGACATTATACCTACAGAAACTATTAATAAAGAATTTTGCTATAAGTTCTGATTTCTCTTTGCTTTTATAAAGTTTAGACCAACCCTCTGAAGTCAGGCTACTGGAATAAAATAAAGTTTGAAAGCTATTTAAGTAACTAAAATGTTTAGCGCTCCAGGGAAAGTTGATTTTTATATAAAACTTAGACCTTCCTTCTTTCCCTTTTGTAAAATACCAATTTTCATGTTACTGCTGGCACTGAATTCAGGGTCTTGAATTCTTGAGAGCTCAGCCCTTAACAGTTGTAGGGCTGAGTTTTACTCATCTCTTCCTGGAGCCTAGGTGCTCACAAAGGCATAAACTTCACCGCATTTTGATGTGGGGAAACCAATTTTTAGTTTCTACAGTGTCTCATTCCCCTGAAATTTTAAATTTGAAAAATACTCAAGAAGCAGCCTTATCAGAAAGAGGACAATCTAAATACTAATACATTTTTGTTTGTTTGTTTTATTAATATATAATAATGTTCTTCAAATTTTATTTCATTTTGTGTGGTTAGTAGTAGCTAGTTTTACTAACTGTAAAAATTATTTTTGCAATGCAGATGGAGACTGTTACATGTCATCTAATTACATAGTTCTCACACAAGTGTTTCTCAAAACAAGTTTCAGAATCAAATTTGCTGTTCTATTTCAGATTAAGGACATTGAAAAACAGCAGTAGACTATCTAGTGATTCAAACAGCATTTTACAGCCTTTGCAAACAAGAAAGGTGATGCTCCTGTGCTTTTGCTGCTCTGTATCAGCAAACAGAAGGACGAGAAATATAACACATCGCTCAGAACACAGAAAATATGCCACTCTACGATGAAAGAGTCAGTTCACTGGGAATTGTATCCATCAGTATCAATATCTGATGGGGGCAGTAAGGAAGACAAAGCCAGCCTCTTCAGTATTAGAAGTGACAAGACAAGAGGCAACAGGCATAACTTGACATACCGGACAGTCTGTTCAAACATAAAACCATTTCTACCATGAGGGTAGTTGAGGACTGGAACATGTTGGCTAGAAAGGCTGTGGAGTCTCCATCCTTGGCAATACTCAAAGCCAACAGGACAAGGGCCTGAGCAACCTGCTTCAGTCAACCCTGCTCTGAGCAGTAGGATTGGACTAGAGCATCTTCAGAGGCCCCTTCCAACCTCAACCATTCTGTGACCTGAATCTGTCCATAAAATGCACTAGTTTGTTGAGAAAAGACAGTCACAAAGTTTAGATTCAGAATTCTTGCCAGACTAGGAAATGATCTCAATGTAACCTTAATAAAGATGCTCCTGTGTACACCTGGTATCTCTTGTCATTATCACTACAGTATCTCATAGTGATACAGTACCTCAGTAACAAAGGACTGATAAAAATATATGAGAACTAGGGTGGGTTTTTTTTTTCCACCAGCTAAAAATTAAAGGGCCCATCTAGCTAAATAAAAGCTTCAGTGTGTTTTATGCTAGTATAGTTATATGACTTCGGATTCCTATGGGATCATCACAGACACACTTAATGACTCATCTACAAGTTTGAGTAGAGCTTCCTGCAGAGCTTTCAGCATCTGCAATGCTTTCTGCCAAGAGCATATGTTCCATAGGTTTTTACAGACAAACTGGCATTTCAGCTTACCTTGTCTGTCACATACTGGTGATGGTGATGGGGGGGGGGGGGGGGGGGGGGGGGTTGTCTTAAAGTCTCTCCAAATAGAAAAAAAACATGGCCCTGTGTTCACAGTGAAGAAATGCTCACTCCAATGAGCACAGACATTGCAAAAAATGTTACTTTAATCATACTGCTGTCTAATAATAGACTCCTTGTACACAATTGCTCTCTAGTATTCTGCTGTCACTTTTAACTCCAGTTCCTTCTGATCTTTTTTAACAAATAGAAATTTTTTTTATATGGAAAATGTATACTCATTTGGCAAGAGTTTTGAAAAATTCACTGTCTTCCTTTCACAAAGGGATGGTCCAGCAACTGCAGAACAGAAGGGCATTGGTGTTGATCTCTGCATTGAGGGTTTGAAAAATCAGTACATAAAATGAATGTGCATGCCTGTGATATAATTGTTTGTAAAATCTAAATGCAAACTTAGCCTTTTTTTTTTTCCTCATTTCTCCAGTCATTACTCATTTTTAGGGTTTTTTTATAAAGCTAGTAGAAAGGAAGGCAGGATTTATGGGAAGAGACTGATGGAATTTATGAATTATAAAACTGAAATATTTTATTATTACAGAAATCATTCTTTGTTCCTCTAAATTCCTTGCAAAACTTTGAGTTATTCTGCTAATGTGGCTGTTTCAGATGCACAAAAAATGTATTTAAGGAGGGTGACAATTATTTGTTTGATCCTGTGTCAGTCAGGCTGTTCTGTCATCTCCAATCAACGTCATGCACGTTAAGGAGCCCATATGGAATTACAGTACGGTAATTACAATATTGCCTTGCTAGAGCCAAGGGCTTTGGGCTTTTTCAACCCTCCGGTTGGAGAAAAAAACAGGGGAAGGAGTAAAGGACACTGAATTCTTAAGTAATAAACTAATGGGGAAAATGGGATGAGGGAGGCATTT